GGGGGGCGGGGGGCGGGGATAATTTGCATGAAGGTACAAATGGCACAATTCACTTCTTCACTGCCCTAACCTTTTCACTCTGTCATTATAACTGTCCTGTACTCATGGTATTTTTCAGGTTCTCCTGACGCTAAAGGAATAAAAGTAGCACTAAGCAAGCTGAACAAAGGTTCACCCTCACATCCTTCCCCATCATTCTTTCCCTATTTTGAAATCTTTGGCCCATTGCAACTAGGAGGAAAGGCAGTGCTTAAAGTCATGGATTAATTGTCTGGTTCCTCCAAAATATTTAAAAACCAAAAAGATAGCTTTGGTTTTTAATAGACGCTCCTACCCTATCCAGCTTCTTCACACTTTTAATAATGAACAGTCCTTCATCAAGTGTTTCTGCACGTGCCAGCCAGGTCATGATCCTTAGAACTCCCAGAAGAGGTGGGGTATGGAGGCTGGTTGGACATGGCTGTGATGTGCCAAACTGAAAACCATTCCCTTTGAAGAGTTAAATATTACCCTGCCTAAAATTCCCATTCCTAATTGCACCGGGGAGAAATTAGATATAATTAGATTGCTGAAATAAATGCCTATGATAGATTGTAATAAAAGACACTCCTCTGATTCATCTCTTCATTCAAAAAAAATAATTCCTTTAGCCTTGCTCTGTATAGCACATAGAAAATGGATTATTTTACTTTACCCTGGCTTATTCCATAATCTATGCCAAATCGTTTAAGTATTTTATATTGTTGAATTCAAACTGAAAACAAAGTGGAATCTGTGAAGACAGATGATCTTAGCATGACTCTGAACTTCCTTTTAAGCATCCAATTGGATATATACAAAAACGGTTCAAGAACTGGGATCAAATGTAGTAAAACATGGTTAAAGCAAAAATGGCACATTTCTAGTATTGTTACTTCCCCCTAGGTACAGGTAAATCACATAAATAAATAAAGCAACTGACTTTTCAGTAATGTAAACTTAAATAGTTACAAACATACATGTAGGAAAAAAAAGGATACAGTAGTGCAAAAAATAAATTATTAAAACAGAAAGAAGTATGCATATTATTTTACACAATGCTATATAAAACCTGAACCATTTGGAATGAGACCTCAAGTCAGTGAAATAACGCAGCAACATTATTAGTATCTTTGTTTCACATTTTAGCTACACAAGTCATTCACCTATGAAAGAAAGAAAATTAAAGCAAAACCACTTTAAATTTTCAGAAAATTTTATGTCAAAATCAAAATTTTTTTTTTTTCTGGGCTCTTAAACACCTCTGCTGTGCATGGAGTTGTGCAGCATGTCAAGAAGCATCTTAAGATAGAAAGTTTCAAACAGGTCACATTCTTTTGGTCTTTCTACTCAGTTTCTCTCTGTGATCAACAGCAAGGTAATACCTGTTTGATACTTCCTTTTGTTAAGATGTTATTGCAATTAGATATATTTACAAGACGACTCCCCTAAGGCAGTGGGGAGGCTGGGAGCTCCTCTTCAGCAATCCACTCTCACTAGTTTTGGTTTCGGGATATAAAGGCCAGGACTCGCCGAATACCATTCAGTCTATCCTTTAAGGACTTCATTGCTAGGAAAGGGAGCTGAGCTCGGCTCTCCAATGGAAGAACCGCTAACGTCCACCAGCACCAGGCTGGACCATTCGGGTTAATCTGCAATAGAGAAACACAATGGGTTCACCCTATTCCCATGGCAGTGATGTCACTCTGCAGGTTTCCAAAGCCACAAGGTAAACATCCCAGGGGAACTGCTTCTGTGTGTAGCAGAGACTGCTAATTGCCCCCATATCTATTTCCCCCCATCTTAGCTGGGCATATAGTCACCCACAAAAAAAGACTACATTTCTCAGCCTCCCTTGCAGCTAGATGAGGCCATGAGACAAAGTTCTGACTAAGAGGATGTAAAGGGAAGTGATATGTGGAACTTCTGGGTGACGCCTGGGAAAGGAGCATGTGCCCTTTGCTTTCCTCTTTCTCTCCCTTTCCCCAGGCTAGAATGTGGCCATGGCGATGACCAGCCTTCTTCAATCAGGAGGATGAGGGCGACGTTCAAAGGATGGTAGAGCTTTGTGATGAAGGAGCCTGGGTCTCTGAACGATCTCATGGAACAGAGCTGCCCCAGCCTTCCAGGACTTACAGCCTCTATCTTCCTTAGATACAGTTATTTTTGGAAGTGGTTAAAGCAAACAAACCAATATCCTAGCAGATACACTACACCTCCTGGCCAGTGTGATTTCATGAGCCGGACTATCCGCTACTCTGTCTCTTCCACTTCTTCGATTCTGTTTAGGTCCTTTGGACTGATGCATTGAACATGTGGGCCTTCAATTCCCATGACCCCTTAGGCTTTGCATGTCTCTTAATTCCCTTCATTTTCATGCTTTTGGCTGAAGGCAATATAGTCCACATACAGCATGTCACTATATAGGGCCACAGCTAGCTTCTCCCCTGAAACCAAAGATTGTGAATCACAGCCCCAACACACAGCAATCTCACTTTGCAAAAATTCCAATTAGAAAACACATTCATGTTAGAAATGTATTCCATCCCCAGGTTTCCTTTTAATAAAGACCTTTCCCATTTCACATAAATCCTTCACCAAACTTCTGTTTGTAAGCAGCTTCCCAGGCACGCATTTTAGACATTGGTGACTTATTTCCTGCCAAGCCCCAAATGAGCTTTCTTCCCTTTCAGAAAGTTGGCTTTAGGACTGTGGAGAACCACATTCTGGTCACACCACCTACATGTGGGATTATTTGCCTCCAGATTGGTTCACCTGATTCCCGCCCCCCACCCCAGCCCACTGCCCTCTTTGCTTCTCTGTGCCTCTAGCTTCATTTGGATTCCTTTTTATCTCTCACTGCAATCTGTAACATGCTTTCCCTCCTAGTATCAGATGTGAATATCAGATTCACATATTCTGAACTTTCTTTCCCAGGATCATTAACAAAGATATTTAAGCTGATGTTAATACTCGTGGCTGTTTCTAAGAAACCTCCTCCTGAGGCTTAGAACATTCTTATTAATGGGACTACGGGGGCTGCAGCATTGACTGGATCAAACCGGATGGGTTTTTTCTGCTTTTTTTTTTTTTTTTTGCTGCTGCTGCTGCCTAAGAGATATGATAACAGTCCTAATAAGAAAGGAAATGAAACCCAAGATTTCAGCTTTCTGTGTCACTGAGCTCTTATGAATCAGTCTGTGGCATCTGTTTTCTCTTGTGGAAAATGCTGCTATCATTGCTGATCACTATATTCTGCCTGACTGGGGGAAAGTGCTTTCCAGAAGGTGAAAGGGAACATTAAGCTTGATCATGAGCTTGCTCAGAGCTCTGCTGTAGTCCTGAGTCACAGTGGCCCAGAGCCAGGAGCTGGGTCATTAGGAAGCACTAACTGGCCTTTCTCCCTCAACATTCACAATGCCTCTGCATGGGGGAAAGGGGCCTCCTTTGTGGTCTGGAGAAAGCAAGACACTTCAGCCCGTTAGGAAACAGACTGGTGTTTTACAGCCTCAGAATCAAGAGGAAGAAGGGACTTTTGAGACCTCCTTATCTACCGCCCTCCTTTCAGAGATGGGAGAAAAGTTGAGAAAGGGGAAGGAACTTACCCAAGGTCACACAGCTAGAAAGGTAAGTAGGCCAGTCTTTCGGCAAGGAGGTCAGAATATACATATTCTATTCTACTACTGTGACAGAGTCAGGAATGAGTGTAAGTAAAGAATCGCGAGAGTTATGGAGACGATGATGTAGGAGAGCCAGCTCAGAATGTGGGAAAGGGGATGGTGGAGAAATATTTGTCTAGGAGATCTCCAGCCTTGCCTTAGAAAGACAGTACTCCCTGATTTATACTAGAAAAGCAAAGCTTGGTAAAACTTCACTATCTCCACCTTCCTAGAGAGCTTCTGATCTGCAGCTTGATCTCTCAAATGGACCTGTGCCCCCAGGAAAACGACTGATCCAGTAGACTCTAATGAACTGCTTTCTAGTATAACTCAGCCAAGGGTAAATTTAAAGATTGGGTCAGTTTTCTCAGGAAAACTTGCTAACCCCTGATGAGGACACTGGCAAGGGGCTAGACCTGCAAGGCTATGCATGGAGGGAGCTGAGTGTGAAAAATTCCTGTGGTCTGGCAATTGGAATCCTGTAAGGTAGCTGGCCCTATCTCCTGGCTCCTGCAGCAATGGGGGAGAGGGTTATGAAGCTCCCTGGAAGTGGCAGCCTTTGGTCTCAGCTCCCAGGATAGCCTTCTCTTAAGCCTGGCCTTTGCATGAATCTTGTCACCCTAACACATTACCAGGGTGCGAATCCGGACTCCCACTGAAGGTTCTTCTGTTGATGGCATCTGTGTTCCCATTCTCTCACCTGACTTACCTCTCAAAACCTGTCTTGGAGCCCAGTTCCTACTGCTTTACTTTAGTCACTCCAGTTCTGACTTGGGATACTTTTGGTCTTACCCATGATGCCCACTACCCAGCCAAACAATACCAGGATCCATCTCCCTCCTTACCCTTGATTTGCTGGATGGCAACCACACACCCATCTAATCACAAACCTTAGGCTCTCTCATCTGGTGGGGGCAACTGATTACAAAGAGACATTTTTGTATACCTGGGGGTCAGCATCTTTCTCTGGCATTGGACCAAAGTGATTGAGTATCCGATTCTTCAAGGATGATTTGAGTGAATGAAACCACGATGATGCTTGCTCATAGACACAGTTATGTAATCCCATGAGCTCAGCACAATCCTCTCCTTGAACCTGAAAGTATCAAAGCGGAAGTGAAGCATTTTGTACCTTCTCTATCACTCCTAGAGCCCCTTTTGATGCCTTTGACTCTCTTTGAGCATCTATCCTGTCTCCCTATAGGAAGGCTCACCCATCCGGCTTTCCCCTGTGTGGTATGGGAAAGGCTCCTCAGCCAGATAAGGGACTGTGTGTAAATACTGCAGAGGGTGGAGAAAGGAGAAAGGTTCAGCTGGATAAATTAGCTGAAACAGTAAGACATATAGAAAACCAAAGATTCAAACTGACCTGAGTGGAGGCGTGCTGTTAAACTAGGTTATGTTGGCTTACACCTTTGTCCTTTTCTTTTCTTTTTTTTGTGAGGAAGATCAGCCCTGAGCTAACATCCGTGCCAATCCTACTCTTTTTGCCGAGGAAGACCGGACCTAGGCTAACATCCGTGCCCACCTTCCTCCACTTTATATGGGATGCTGCCACAGCATGGCTTGACAAGCGGTGCGTCGGTGCGCACCCGGGATCTGAACCCCGGGCCGCTGCAGCGGAGCGCGCGCACTCAACCACTACGCCACGGGGCCAGCCTCTGTCCTTTTCATTTTTTACATCTGCTTTCCCATTGCTTACTAGGAAGAGAGACACGAATGTGTCTGTGCCTCAGTGTGTAACTCTATCTTCCAAGTCAAATACATTTATTCATTGATCAGGTATTTATTAATCTTGTACTATATAGTGAATGTAAATATAAACAAACTGGGATTATTTACCTCTTCTTCTGCCCATTACTCCAGAAAACCAAGGATTAACTGGATATGTCATCTTTCTGCCTTATGGGATGATGGATTATTGGGAAGGGCCCTTAGCCAGGTTGTGCATTTCAAAATACAAATGTGCATGTGAAACTATAATTATCTCAAAAGAAAAAGTTTTAAAATATAAATAAACCGGTAAATAAAATACACATGTGTAGAGCCTGCTCCAGAGCTATCCCTTGGTATCCCTAGCAGAGACCTAACTCCTAGGCTGAATGCACCCAAGGTTGGTCTGCCCGGGCATTTCTTATGCAGGAATACAACTCAGCAACTAAGCAGGGAGAGCCAGGACACCGGGCACTCTCACTGCCATTCTACAACCGAACAGCAAACCGGCAGCATTCAATATTGCTGCAGCAATTTGGTGAGAAATACCGAGGGCTCCAACAGTGCTGAGAAATCCTTTTGCAAGCACCTTTGTCTGCCAAGCTACAGGGACAGCCTGGCTTTGCGATTCTTGGCACTGGCCACCCTCACCTTTTGGTCTTCGATGTATTCAATGTCGGCTGTGTTGTAACCATCCCGCTGGCCCTGATGGAGGACCTTGAAGCGCCTCTTGCCTATGCTGTCGACCACTGAGCGGCCATCGGCAAAGAACTGAACGTTTCTGATCTCTAGGATGCAGCCATATTCCGCAAACCTGTTTATTGGGAATGGAGTCAAGAAAGTAAATTCTTGATGAGTTGTTTCCCTGGCCTGGCCCCTGGACATCTCGGTAACCCCATGCTGTGTCTCAAGGGACTTCTGCTAATTGCCTGTCCCAGAGTCTTCAGCTACAACTACACAATACGCAGTGCCTGTATGAAAAAGAAATCTTAATGTATAACTGCTGCCATTTAGTGAGCACAGACTACGTGCTAAGTACTGTGCTCAGTGCTTTGTGTGCATTATGAAACCGCGAATCCTCCCAACAAACCCAAGGAAGCAGGCACTATTACTGTACCCATTTTACAGATTAGAAAACTGAGTCATAGAAGGGTTACGTAACTTGCTGAAAGTCAAACTTGCTCCAAGGCTGGAGCCAGAATATGAACCCAGGTAGTTTGACTCCAGGGCCCACACTCTCATTAAACAAGTTTTCTAGTACATACCATCCATTTAACAAAAGATTAATCCTGTTCCTTTAAATAGGCAGCCTCTCACACGCTAAACTAGGGGCTTGTTCCTTACAAATGCTCATGGTGATGAGCTGGCTAAATCTCAGGAGCTGTGCCTCCCCATCTCCTGGGAGGGCCCCAAAGTAAAACAGAAACCTTCTCCACCCAACCTTCCTTTACTCGCATAGCTCCTCACTTACCCTTTGACAGGATCGCCAAGGCACATGCCAAACTGTCTGGTGCCTGTCTCAATGCATCTACGAATCATCAGACGGTAACAAGGCTCAAAGATGTGCAGGGGACAAGGAACCGTGGGATAGGCCATAGTACACACAAAAATCGGCACGTTCTTATTTAAGCTGCCAGGAAGAGCAGAAGACATGGATCTCAGAGCAACAGAGCAGAACACGGAAAGGCTGGGCAAACGCCACCATGTGGTTCCCCCACAGGAAGGCAAGGAGACATCAAGTTTTGATAGCTGATAAAAAATAGTGAAATGCAACTGACGCTGTGGGCGGAGTCCCATTATCTGGTACAGAGGTCAGCTAAGAGATTAAAATTGCCACTCTACACATTCTAATTTGGCTAAAGAAGTTCTCTAGTACCTTAAATTAGGGGTGATAGTTATAGCTCATATGTTTTCTTTCTTCCTTTCATACTCTCCACTCAAAACAATCTCTTCAGGTGTCTTGCTGGCAGTTTGGGAAAGGGTACTGGTGGTAAAAGTGGACCCAACTCTCCAGAGGGATGGTGGGGATATCTCTGCAAGGTCTCCGTGAGCATCTCAAATTTGCAAAGCCCCCAGAAGATCTGCGTGGCAGGCCCAGCTCGGAGGAGGAGGAGCAACAGAGAGGCAAGAGTAATCGAGCCCCGTGATGCTCCAACGCTCCTGTGCATCACAACCACCTGGGGCCCTTAATCTAGACAACGGGGCTGCGGCACCCACAGAGACACTGGTGCGTTAGCTCTGGAATCAGGACCCAGGAGTTTAAACAATAATTGAGAGGAGGACTCAGAGAGACTGAAGGTGAACTTAAGAATCAGAAATAAAGATAAAGATGCCCTGAGTAGATTTAATATAAGTCAATGAGAAAAAAAGGATTTCATTTCTAGCTTCCCAGGAAAACATGTTATTCAAAGTGAGAGGCACATTCAAACAAACTGGTGGCAGTTTAGAAATGTTCTCTACAGGGTGGGCATAAAACGAGAACAGGTTTTGCCATCGGGAACCTCGCCCCCAGAATGCCGTGAGGATTCCACTGGGGATGGGGGGGGCGGCAGTATGAGAGGAGGACATTAGTGCTTGCCTCCTGCTTTTTCTGCTAAGTGAGCTGTTCTTCCAGCCAGGCAGAGAGCCTGGAGCCCTACTTCCATCTCCATCCCTACCCTTCACCTCTCATAATACCTGTGCCTGGTAGAGGAAGCATATAACAAGCAGCATTCTTACTATTACCACTTATTAAGTGCTTACTAAGCACTAGCTCATTTGATCTTTATAACAAGTCCACGAAGCAAGAACTATTATTATTTCCAAGCTACAGATAAGGACACTGAGGCCCAGAGAGGTTAAGTGACTTGCCTAGAGTCATGAAGTATACTCACTTTGTGGCAGGACTGGGTCTTAAGCCTAGGCCTGACTGACACCAAAGTTCTTAACCTCATAGCACCTCCTTAGGTACTTGAAAACAGCCTTCTGTACACTTCGTAAGTTCCCCTGATTCAGCTACTCCAATTTACTCCTGCCAGCGACACCCAGTTACGAGTGCCAAGACGTGAGCTGGTCAGTGGTTTGGCTTATGCTTCTTCAACGATGTGCTGGTAAATGCTGAACAGCTGGCTCTCCAGGGAGAAAAAGCCCCAGTTTATAGCATTTGCTGATTTCTATGGTGTAAATACTCTCCCCATGGTCAATTTCAAGCTAGCAACAGGATATCACGGAATGAGGAGTTAGGAAGAAATGTACACATTCAGCTCTGTGATCTAGTATGAGTGAAACTGAAAATAGAAACATGCATATACATACTTAGAAAGTTCTTCCATTTCCTCTTCATAAAGCCTCCTTCGTTCCTTGAGTTCTTCCGGAAGGAATTTAGCTATTAGCTCTTCCATTATTACATTTTTGCTGTATTTTCTTGATGCCAAGCACTATATGGGGAACAAGGCAATTAGATACTATGCAGTCATCAGAAAAACACAAATCACTTCTGATGGAATCAGTAAAATAGCTAAATAACCCACATATTGGAGTAATTTGGACCCACCCATTAGCAGCTGATACTATCATGATGTATGTATCCTCTGGATGTTAGAGTTTAAAAAACACACACACAATAGATTACTTACATAATTAGAAAAAAATATTTTAACAAGGGAAAAAGACCTACATTGAAGTTTTAAAAATCTCATAGCTTTCCTAAAACACTGAAATTGAGACCATCTTCTTGTCAAAAAAAGGGGGGGGGGAAATCCCTCCCTTTCCTTTTTCTGATTATTGTGTTTACGAGTTCACAGAAATGGACTCCATCTGGAATATGCTGCAAGTCAGTAGTCAAAAGGTTCAGGGAACTAAACGGCAATTTTCTATCTTTGATCCTTTCCTGCCTTGCCCCACCCCCACCCCATCCCAATACCTGGCTTCTGGATATTGCAAGTCTAAGTATTTTTTTCTGCTCTAACTTTAGTTTTAAAAAAACAACTAAATGCTAATGATCTTGTTTGTCTATTCATTTTTTTAATATACCATCTAGCTATCACAAGAAATTATGTTATAAACCATGATTTCTGAACTGAACTCAGGCTTAGGTGTCACTAATGCCCACCTCCCAAACACCCCTAACCCAGGCATATCCAGGGATCCGTAAGTACTGGGTATTTAACCATGCGAACCAGACAATGGGAGTTAAAACATCTGCAGAGAATTGCTTGCTGTGGAAACTACCCACACAGACCCAGCAGGGGGAGCTCCTGAGTATAAAATGGCTGGCTTCAGACAATGTTTCCTTTCCCGGTATGGGTTACGTCTGTCTATTCTGCAGTGAACGTGATTGGAATAAGATATCTATCTGGAAAATGGTGTAAGTGTGACCCTTTGTGAATATACAGAGATAGATGAGAATATCTTCTAGCCCGAGTCCGGGACTCCACAGCATCTGCCTCCAGGATGCCTTATCAGCCACTGCCAATGCCTGGCTGCAGGAGAATCAACTGCTTTGCGGGTCCCAATCTTTGGGGAAAAGCAATGACTCAGGAGGTAGCCAATCCAAGAAGGAGGTGACTCCTCTGCTGATGCTAAAACAAAACCCCAGGAAAGGCACATACTCAAATGTTAATGGTGGTTTTCTCCAGCTGATGAGCATATGGGTAGATTTTTCTTTTTTCTTCTGCTTATCCGAATGTTATAGTGTTACCACAACACAAATGTATTATTTAAGGACCATGAGCTTCTCGCCTACAATCAGGCCAGTAAATCTCACCCCTTTATATAAGCAAGGTATGACGTTGATCCTCCCCCCAACCCAGTACACATCCTCAGGGTTTCCCTGGATGATTATTTCATTCCATTCCCTTAGTTTAAGTGTTGGGGTGTTGGGAAAGCTCAACATGTGACTTCTCTGGACCTATATTCACCTAGAGATAGTCTTGTATCGCCAACCTCTCCTCAAGGATGACAGAGGTCAAGGAACATGAATACTGATTGCAAAATGTGGCACACAAGTCCATGAGGGAGGGAAAACAAGACAGATTCTGGAGTCTTTCTGTGCTATAGGAAATTCCATCGGGTCCACTTGAAAAACAAAGGTGGCAGTTTGTGAGATTCATTTTCAGAGGCCCTGGAAGCCCCAGAGCTTTTCAAGTAGCCAAGTATCTGCTAATAAGTACAGTGGCTCCTGAGGGCTGGGACAAGGACCACACTGAATGTCTGTGAGGTTTCTCTGGGGACCTGGGAGTGATCTCTTCAAACCAAGGAATAAACATTGATGGTAAGGGAACATCAGAGCTCATCTAGTCCAAGCCCAGAGAGGCCAAAGATTCACCCAAGATTACAGTGAATCAGGCGCCATGATGGGATTAGAACCAGAATCCATGTTTATCATCAATTTAATACTTTTGTTTCCAACACAAATTAATTTCACTACCAATTTAGTTCATAAAAAGCTAGATCTTGCCTCATTTTCCTGAAGGACTTTGTGGAGAGAGGATGGATGGCTATAAGACAGGAGAAATAGATAGATGGCCTGAGGGGTTATTTTGCCCCAGCACAGTGCAGAGGCTTGGGATCCAAGAGGACACTGTCTTAGTAAATCAATTGCAAATGAGCTAACCCAACCAAGAAAGACATAATATTTTACCTGTGAAAGACCATCTTTGCACAGTGGACACTTGGCATTGTGATCTAGGCATCTTTCAAGGCATTTTAAGCAAAACGTGTGCCCACAAGGTGTTGTGACTGGCTCATAGAATAATCTGAAATTTAGGAATCAAAATGGAAGAAAACTGCAATGAGACCAAAAATAAAAGACAAAGCTACTCGATGTTAAGATTTCATAGTATTATTTGGAAAAATCTGTGTGTGTTTCTGGGGTGGGGGGGAGTTCTTTCCTTTTTTTAAAAATCCTTGTTGTTGCACTTCAGAAAAGCATTTGATTTTTATTTCTGAGCTGGATTTTAAAACAGGCATTTATTAAAGTTTACGACATAGCTAGGTCATTTTGTAACATTAATTCTAGTCAGTCTCTTCTGAGGCATCCAGATTTTTTTTTCCCCTGTCAGGTCGCAGAAAAATAGAGATCAATGCCCAGAGTGTCTGAATAGATTCCATTCTAAAATATTTAGCCAACCTCTTCACCTGAGTATATGTAAACACACAGACAAACACACAGATAAACACACATGCACTCTCACACATTTATCCATTTAGTACTTTATATCACATTACATGACTTGTTTGCTAACCTTGATTCCATTTTTCACCCAAGCAATGTTTACTGCCTGAAGGTTCTCGAAATTGCACCTGTAACAAACATATAACTGCCTCTTATAAGGATGGATCATTTTCCTAGGAACAGTCGAGTAATATTGTTAATGTGCTTACTGATAGGTAGATAGATAAATAGACACATATATATATGCATATACGTCAATTAGATCCTATTTTAATTGCTTTGCAGGAGCTGGATATTTTCGAAGCAATCTTGGGATCTTTTTAAAAGCTGTTCTATACCTTCAGAGATTCATGGATTTACTTTTCTTAAAGAAAGGCTCACCTGCAGCAGGACCACTGGCTGGGGGCAGCTGAAGATGGTTCAGAAGTGGGGCTCGCACTCACCAAGAGGACAGAAAGAAAGGAAAGACGCCTCACCAGCCTATTTTGACATCACCAGAGCTTTCAGTTGAGAGGAAGAGGCCACCAGCTGCACAGCCCCCTCGTGTGGCCAGGAGGTGCACCAGCAGCCTAGCCCACACTGCCAGGCTGAGCAGAAGAATCAAAATGTCAAAGCTGAAAAGTACGTGAAAAAAATTGAACCCACCAACCAGAATCAAACCGAGTTCCAGAGAGGATGAAGTTGCTTATCTACATGTGCACAGCCAACTGTTGGCAGATGATAGTCTATCCAACTTCCACTTTAGTCACATGCTCTTTCTATCAGAACAATGATTCTCAACCATTCCTGTGCGTGAGAATCACCTGGGCAGCGTTTTCTTTAAACAGCTTTTTTGACGTATAATTGACGTGCAATAAACTGCACATACTTAAAGTGTACAATTTGATAAGTTTTAACATATGTACACACCTATGAAACCATCTCCACAATCACGATTGTGAACACATCCGTCACCCGCAAACGTCTCCTCATGCCCCTTCGTAAACCCTCCCTCCTGCTCCTCCCCACCTCCCCCTCACCTGGGGAACTTTTAAAAACTACAGATGCCCGGGACCACACCTGCAGAGATTCAGATCAGTTGGTAAGGGCCAGACATCAAGATTTTTTAAAGCTCCTTGGGTGGTTTTAATGTGCAGCCAGGGTTGAGAATCACTGTATTACACAATCCTACTAATCTCTGCATAGGCGAATCCTCTGTATTGTCTCCAAACCTAATTATCAGAGGCACCGGTGGAGCTTTAAGAACATACATGGTGAAGCCCCACTGGATAAAGTTTGTGGTTCAACAGGTCAAGGAGTGGGACAGAGATTTGATATTTTTAACAAGCCAATGAAGGTCTGGAATAGGAGAGAGACTTTTCATATATTCACTTTGTTCTACGTTTTTAATGTTATAATCCTGTTTAAAAAGTAGTTAATTTGTCTAACAAAATTAATAGATTTTAGTTATTAAGTTGGCCAGAAAGTAAAATTAATTTTCAAAAAAACTCTTTATGATGAAGGTTCTACCCAGTGCACAAAGGCAAGAAAAATAAATAAATAAAAGTATAAGAATTGGAAAGGAAAAAACCAAATCTGTCATTATTTACAAATCGTATGCTGGTGAACTTAGAAAATCTAAAAAAAGGGGCCGGCCTGGTGGCGCAAGTGGTTAAGTGCGTGTGCTCCGCTGCAGTGGCCCGGGGTTCGCCGGTTCGGATCCCGGCGCACACTGACACACCACTTGTCAAGCCATGCTGTAGCGGTGTCCCATATAAAGTGGAGGAAGATGGGCTTGGATGTTAGCCCAGGGCCAGTCTTCCTCAGCAAAGAGGAGGATTGGCAGATGTTGGCTCAGGGCTGATGTTCCTCACAAAAGAAAAAAAAAAAAAAAAGAAAATCTAAAAAAAATCTACAGAATGATTATTAGAATTAATAGGAATTGATAGAATTGGCAAGGATGCTAGATAAATATACATACACACACATACAATTGTAGTTCTATATACCAACAACAAACATGAGAAAATACATTCTTTAAAAGATGACTTTTACAATTGCTTTTAAAAATCAAGTACCCAGGAATAAATCTAACAAAAGGTGCATGAGACCTCTATTGGAAAAAACTATAAACATTCCATTGAAAGAAAGTAAAGAAGACCTAAATAAGTCCCAATAAAAATCCCAACAGGTTATTTCACTTGTTTGTTTTTGTGGGACTTGACAAGTTGATATCTAAACTTTATAAGGCAAGGCAAAGGGCCAAGAAGAGCCAAGACACTTCTGAAGAGCCGCAGTGTAGGAGAACTTGCTCTACCATACATCAGAGCTTATTATAAAGCTGTAGCAATTAAAACAGTGTAGGACTAGCACAAGGACGAAGAGGCCTGTGGAATAGAATAGAAAGCCCAGAAATAGACCCAGACTCAGATTCTTGACTTATGACAAATGTGGCACTTCAAAGCAGAGGGGGAGTTTCAATACAAATTGCATTCTCAATAAATGCTATTTGGGATGATTGGCTATCCACAGCAGGGAATGAAGTTGGACCATCTCTCACACCATACACAAAAATCAATTCCACGTGGGCTGTAAAAATAAATGTGCAAGACAAACAGTAAAGCTTTTAGAAGATAAAATAGAATATCTTTATGACCTCAAGGTAAAAAAAAAAAGATTTCTTAAACAAGAGACACAAAAAAACACTAACTGTAAATGAAAAGACTGATCATTTTTACTGCATTAAAATTAAGAACTTGTAAGTTCATCAAGAGATGCCATTAAGAGAGCAAAAGGCAAGCCACAGAGTGGTAGAAGGTATTTGCAGCACACAGGACTAACAAAGGACTCATCTCTAGAACATACATAGAGCTCCTATAAGTCACTAAGAAAAAGAGAGATAACCCAGTTGAAAATGGGCGAAGACTTATATGCACTAGCATACATAAAAACTGTTCATAGCAATGTTGTCCATAATAGCCCCAAACTAGAAACAACCCAAATATCTATCTATAATAGAACTGATAAATTGTGGTAGATTCATACAATGGGACACTATACACTAATGAAAATGAATAAACTTTACCTACATGCAATAACATGGATAACTCTTAATACTGAGGAAAAGTAAACCAGAACAAAATAATACATTCTACATAACTCAATTTATACAAAGGTTTTTAAAAAATAGTCAAAACTAAATTACACCGTTTAGAGATGCATACCTGGGTGGTAAAACTATTTTTAAAAAAAGAAGGGATGAAAGTCAAGATAGTGATTTCAGGGGGAGAGGGAGGGAGTTGTGATGTGGAAGTGGCATATGGGTGGCTTCTGGGGTCCTGGAGATGTTTTATTTCTTGAACTGAGAGGAACTGCATGAGTACCCTCTTTGCAATATTTTGTTAAGAGAATAGATTTATATTTTATGTGCTTTTCCACTGTGTATATTTCACAATTTAAAATGTTTTTCAAAAGTGTGATTTGTAGAAGCAGACTTCAAGATAAAAAAGACAATGAGAGACAAAGAGGGGCAGTATATAATGATAAAAGGGATATTCCACCAAGAGGACATAACACTTATGAATTTATATGCATCTAACACAGGAGCACCAAAGTATATAAAGCAACTATTAACAGACCTAAAGGGAGAAATTGACAGCAACACAATAATAGTAGGGGACCTCAACACCCCACTTACATCAATGGATAGATCATCTAGACAGAAAGTCAACAAGGAAACAGTGGCCTTAAGTGAAATACTAGACTAGATGGACTCAATAGATATATACAGAACATTCCATCCAAAAACAGCAGAATACACATTCTTCTCAAGTGCACATGGAACAATCTCAAAGATAGACCACATGTTGGGAAACAAGGCAAGCCTCAATAAATTTAAGAAGACTGAAATCATATCAAGCATCTTTTCTGAACACAATTGCTATGAAACTAGAAATCAACTACAAGAAAAAGGCTGGCAAAGTCACACATATGTGGAGACTAAACAACATGCTACTGAACAACCATTGGATCACTGAAGAAATCAAAGAGAAATCAAAAAAACACCTGCAGACAAATGAAAATGAAAACACAACATACCAACCCTTATGGGATGCAGCAAAAATGGTACTAAGAGGGACATATAGAGCAAGACAGGCCTACCTCAACAAACAAGAAAAATCTCAAATAATTTGTCTTAAACTACACCTAACAGAACTAGAAAAAGAAGAACAAACAAAGCCCAAAGGCAGCAGAAGGAGGGAAACAATGAAAATTAGAGGAGAAACAAATGAAATAGAGGGTTAAAAAAAAGTAGAAAGGATCAATGAAACTAAGAGCTGGTTCTTTGAGACTATAAACAAAATTGACAAACCCTTAGTAAGACTCACTAAGAAAAAAAGAGAGAAGGCTCAAATAAATAAAATACAAAACGAAAAAGGAGAAATTACAACAGATACCACAGAAATACAAAGGATTATGAGAGAATACTATGAAAAACTATATGCCAACAAATTGGATAACCTAGAAGAAATGGATAAATTCTTAGACCCATACGACGTCCAAAAACTAAATCAAGAAGAAATAGAGAATCCGAATAGACCA